CTAATAAATAAATTTCTACATAATATATTAATTATGTTAGTTTTAAAGAAAATGTACTGTCTTCTTTTAGTTTGCTCTCTAACTACGTGACATCGGATTCAGTCGCCAGTTTTAGGCTTGGCCTAGTAATTTAACAGAAACCATATACACGTCCTACTGACACGAGGTACGATTCAAAAGTGTTTTTTTTACGCTCGTACGAACACCTATCGCATGGGCGTAAAAAGTCTGCTGACCTTGAACTTTACCGCGGCGTACAAAGTCTGCCCGTGCGAACGCACGCTAAAGTAGGCAATGAAACGGATAATATTATTGTCGTTTACGAACTAGTTTTATTAAGCTGGTCGTAAACGTAGCGGTCGGGACGTGAACGCGGTCGTATTCGCGCCCCTTGACTCTCTACGATATATTTATGTTTATCGACTGCAACTTGCAGGACAACGGACAGAATAAAACAACTAATCTCTGTCGCCTTTAAGATATATCTCTTACAGCGGTTAAGATTTATGTGGTTAACATTTTAAAAAATCCTCACAAAGCATTCCTTGGAGACTGTTTTAAGTAGAAAACAGCCAAGGGGGCGCCTGAATTATCGAATAGCAAAGATTTTCAGAATAGAAAGCAGATTGCCTACCTTTAAGCGACGTAAGAGGGAACGCACTGAAAGGAATACTTCCCCTTATGCATCTATTCCTAGGTCAAATCACTTGTAGCAAACAAAATAATTTACGACATTAATCTATGACATGGCAATATTTTTCACTTTACATTAATCAGATTTAAAGAGTTACAATTCTAGAGACAAGACATGTTCTTCGCATAGATCGATAGTATGAGTCACTGCCACTACTGAAGAAAATCTGCAAATTAAATAATGTACAATCTAACCACCTGAATGTACGTCATACATGTGTGATGACGTCATAAAGCGCGCCATGACAGGCGTCGTGATCCCGCGTCACCACGTCGTAAACCTAGCGACACGAGCGTAACAATTTAACAGGCTGTGTGCAAGCTACAGAGATGCATTTTACAATGTTCACTGCAATTTGATGTAATTCATTATTTTACATAAATTATTGTTAATGCTTAATATTTAATACAATAGAAACACGAAAGCCTTAAGCAGTGATTTAAGAGCATTAAGTGTGTACGTAGCTATGATTTGTGCAGGCATAGAACTGTAGCTACGCAATGCATTAATTCATAGTATATTTAAAATGTTTTTCTAATTGTTCCTAGTCCCTATAATCTCGAGATTAGATGCACTTGTCACACTATAGTCCAAATTATTAACAACTAGCTTTCGCCCGCGACTCCGTCCGCGTGGTATTAAAAAAACAAGAGTGAGTACCCTATGCGTTTTCCATTTTTATTTAATTTATTTATGGCGAATTTTATCGTAATCCATCAAGTCGTTTAGGCTACAAACTCTAACAAACATCCATCCGTCCATCCTTCCAGCTAAACTTTTGCATTTATAATATTACAAAGATTAAATAAATATATGATTTCGTTGTTTGAATAATTTATGAGTTTGTCGCCGTCATAAGTTGCATACAACATGGTTTATTGTGTGTTTACGATGGCGCGGACACTGTAGCAGTTCAGTCGAATTGTTAGTGAATGCGGATTTTACGACGCCTTGTTTGCTAAATTTAGCGTAACCCACTGATAATTACGTCTTAAATCTAAGTCTAGACACAGGTCAATAAAGCCGTAGGTATCTATGTCACTTCCATTAGCCGCACTGAGCACAAAATTTGTTTTCTGCCGGCGCTCGCGAAGCGCCGCGCGAGGGTAGACGCAGATGTCGCTTCCGGTGTCCACCAGGAAGCGGGTGTTGCTGCGGCGGTCGGTCACGAAGAGGCGACCTGTAGGTGGGCAACCGTCTGTTGCCATCGTCGAGGTGGTGTCGGGCTTGTAAGTGCACGGCTGGACGCACTTCACTGCCTTGTCCTGGTATTTGGAGTGATACCAGCAGATTGCTGGCTCAGCTGGTGCTGGAGCAGGTTGCTGTTGGCGCTTTTGTATTTTAGCGCGATGCTGCTGACGTCGGTGCTTCAATGCTGTATGCTCCTGACTGTGTTGTCGATGTCGGCAGGTGGAGTCGGGGGCAGAGCATTGTATGTCAATCTGTTGCGTTAACAATGCAATCATTTGCCTTAATTCGGCGATCTCGTTGTCGCACGCCGATGGTATACGCGCGTCCTGCGCGTCCTCCATTTTGTAAGTAATACAGTAACGACTTACGTGTTCTTTGTTCGGGGTCACCAATTTTAGAGGTAAACCACTATGTAGTTTATTTGTGCACATACACGATATAACGTACGATGCAACGTACACAAATTAAAAACTAACACAAAACGATATGAAACAATATAAAGAAAGAAAATACGTAAACAAAATGGCGGGCGAGAGGGCAAACGAGCGAGGTGTCAGCACAGTGTAGCAGCGCGAGGCGACTGTTGGCCGGCCGGCGCGGCGCGGTGCATGATTTGCAGTTGCACGTTGTGCGTACGCGCCGCGGGCGGCGCTCTGCAGCGCGTTGAAATTATATAGTGTGAATGTGGAGTGTGCGTGTCTGTCTGTATGTATAAAGTTTTGCCATATAAAATATATAAATTGAAATGTGTTTGTGAGTTATGAATGTGATGTTATGTTGTGAGTTGTGAATGTTTATGTGTGAATGCGTGAATGTAATATTATAAATAAATGATAAATAAATAAATGTAGTGTAATAAATAGATAGATAAATAAATATGTAAATAAGTACACTACAATGGTATTATCTATACTAATATTATAAAGAGGACAGATTTGTATTTTTGTATGTATTGTAATAATTTAAGAAACTACTAGGTCGATTTAAAAAAAATTAGGGAAGTTATATGTGAATAACATAGGCCATGGTTTTTACTTTTTTTACTTTTCGTACGAAGTTGCGAGCAGCTAGTCCCTTTTGCAATCCGCTGATTTTTGCTTCACTTTTTTTCAATTATGGTGATTGAATAATTAAATAACACCGAGTTACTAGATTAGATCATTAGATTAGATTTTAAACAAAACAAAGAATCTCTTTAATAATTCATTAACTACATTTAATCAATACTTTCTTTACTTCGTTAATCAGACCGACCAATAGGACTTATAATACTATTATTAGTATTATTACAAGAAAAACTTAACTTAACTATCCTATGTTAAAAGTTAGCGAATGTGTTGAAGATGTTATTATCTGTAGTCTATATAACATTACCAGCTGGTTGTGTGCGGATTCATCCGCGTAAAATTATAAACACTTTATTTTATTGTTTACATTTGTTAAATTATCAATAGCAAATGTCAAAATGACATGACATGACTTGACATGACAAACCTTAGCAATCTTTCTTTCTTGATGTTGGCAGCAACTTATGGTCTCTTTCCCACATTAGGGTTTTTATCCAAAATATTTACCCCCTAAGTTTAATGGCGTGAAAATATATAGCCTAAGGTATGATGTAAGTGTAGGGCTTTTAAAAATAAAAAGAGTTATTAAAAATATGCTGTAATTGCTGACATCTTAGGCAACAAAGAAGTGTGTGTTTACGCTTTATTATAATAGTATAGATAAAGAGGAAAGTTTTCTATTTTTGTATTTATTGAAATAATTCAAAAATTCCTGGACTGATTTAAAAAATTCTTTCATTGTTAAAGAGCTACGTTATCAGTGAGTAATAGGCTATATTTTTATTTTTTAATCTACTAAATACAAACTGGATACCTAGTTGTGAAAAGTTAATGAATGAATCCATAGCTTTTACTGTAACATTTCGAGCCCGAAACCGACTCGCCTGACTCATATCACACGCGTCACACATAAAAACTCAGCGTGTCTTTGTAAACGTCGCGCTGTACATATTGTAACCCTTGACACAAAAGGGGTTGACGTACTCCTTGTATGTGTTTGTATGTTTGTGTATTACTACACTTTGTGTACGACGCATGTATTTTGAAATCCTTGCTTATAAAATCGTAATTCTACTCTATTCATTTAATAATTTAAGAACAATAAAAAAACGTATCCTATGTCACTCACTGGTAACGTATCTTAATGGTGAAAGAATTTTTGAAATCGGTCTTGTAGATCTAAAAATAAAAATGTTCCCATTTTATAATATTAGTATAAATGCAAGCAACATTTTTATTGCAAAACTCCTGAAACACTGTTTTTGTTATTAAGTTTCTGATAGTAAAGAACTAACTAAGTTACGCAAGTAATTTCGCTAAGCTAGTAATCACTGCGTCACCAAGCCCCTGATACTTAGTCAATGTTCTACTGAGTCACTGAGCCACTCGGCGTATGCTAACAGCAAGCGTGCAGCGAATGCGTGGCACAATTCCGTTGAAAGGCGAGGGCCTACAGGAGCGGCGTATTTATGCAGCCGGCATAAATCTGCATGAGATTTGCGCGCTCGGTTACCGGGCTATTGGTCCCGCTTGTTAAGCTCTCCATTGTGGCTACGTCGTGCCTTCGCTTGCGTTTTTTAAGCGCTAGTGTGGCTTTGGACATACGATTTGCATATCACAACCTTGAATTTCTGCTGTTTTATGTTTGGAAAAAATAAAAGATAAACCTATAAATACAGTTTATGGATTTACCACAATTCGAGAAATTTGTGTTCGACAAAATTAATACTTCTGAAAGGCAATTTTTGCTGTGCTACTAAACTATATTGTACAATGTTCCATACACATTCAATTAATTTTATTACACTGTACATTTATAATTTCCCTTTTTTCTTTGTAATTTCTATTTAACGTAATGAATTATTTTTAATTAAAATTCAAAGTTCATCTTAAGGCGGCAGTGTGTAATCATCTCGTAGTGCAAGACATGCGGGCTCCCAACTTTTCCCGCCATTACAACTTGCTATATCTGTTAAACTACCTTCAAAAGCCCGCCGCTTACATAATGCAGGTGGATCTAAAACTTACAAGTTTTCTGTAGTTGGGTCTACTTTTGACGTGAATCTAAATTTCTATGTTAATCCAAATTTAGTAATAAAAAATGATCAAATCATACTTTAAGTTATACATTAAGAAAATAAATAATAAATAAAGATACTTTTACAGCTTCAAAATTATTTTTACACATAGAGATCTAATTGTGTTTTTTATTACAGAACTAACTGTTGCCCGCGACTTGGTCCACGCAATATTAATATAAAAAAATAGCCTATAATATGCCCGTCAATGTCAGCTACCCTTCAGTGAAAGTCCTGTCGAAATCGGCCCAGCCGTTTCGAAGGTTGCCGGAACAAATGCGGCTTGCGGACAGACAGACAAAGGAATTTTAAGTGGGAGTTTCGTTATCAGCAACGCAAATACATCAACTCCCCGAAATTTGGAATTTTTCGTTTGATATTACAGACACTCCTATTTTTTTTAATGTAGATCATATACAGTTTTATGTCACAGATTGATGTTGATTTGTTTAAAAAATATTAAAAATAACCTAATAGTCATAACAAACATTAAATTAATATTTGAATAAGTTAATTGTGAATTGTAATTATACAGTTCAAAAGTAATTCACTTGTTTGTATAAAAGTGTTGAAAAAACTGAATGAACCTTCGTCAACCTTTTGTTTATTCTAAAGCAAAAGGCTCCGAATAACTGAGCGCATGACGTTTGTAAATTATTCTTTCTGTAACATGTTTCGTATTCTTTGTATTTTACACTAGCAAATGTAATTAATACATTTTTAGGGCATTCTTGAATGTCTAAAGTTTAATGTTGTTTATGATTTTTAGAAATAAAATGCCTATATATTCCTTTTTAGTTTTAACAACATTGTGCTAACATAACAGTTGATCTGTACAGTTAAATCGTACTAATATAAATGTAAAAGTTTAGAAGGATGGATGGATGGATAGATGGATGTTTGTTAGAGTTTGTAGCCTAAACTGCTGAACGGATCTCAACGAAATTCGGCATACATATAGAGGATAGTCTTGAAGAACACATAGGATACTTGGTTTTGTATTTTTAATACCACGCGGATGAAGTCGTGGGCGAAAGTTAGTTTAAAATAAAACTAAAGATAAGAGTTTAGTAAAATTTCGATGAAAACTATGGTGCACAATTTTCGAACACAAGACCTTTACGTACCTTACCCTTAAACATTCTGCTGCTGCATAAAATTATTCCTATGACTGAGTTAAATGAAAAAAACCTTATCAAACATTCGCCATATTTTTATTCTGTTTTGTTTACTTACACATGAGCACCGCAAGAATATTCATACACGATTTTATTTGCGTTTGCTACATTTATTTGTTCATCGTTATTTAATACATAACTGGTACACGTTACTACTAAACAAACATAAGAGAAACGATCATGTTTGTTTACCTACAACATTCAAGTATATTTTTATTATTGGAAAACTAACTTCCGCTCACGACTTCATCCTCATGGATTGAAAAAATAAAAGTAACTAGCCTATGTGTTCTTCCAGACTATACCTTAAATCTATGTAAAAATTTAATCGAGATCCGTTCAGCAGCTTGTGCTACAAACTGTGTTATCTCTGAATAACATAGCAACAGCAAATATGATATTGAAAATCTATAAGAGTCGCCAACTTCAGTTCAAAGCATATTTGTAGATAGCAATTTTCTTTAAATTTTTTTTTAACATTTTTAACATATATCTCATCTAAACATGCAAGTTATAATCACGCAAGTCGACGTCAGTACGTTGCATTCGAAATTCTTGGACGTGGTGAAAGTTTAGAGCCCGCATATCTCCGATGCACTTTGAGCCAGTTAAGGAATTCGGTGACGAGATTGAACCCACTATCAGGCATTCGATATTGTCGTGTTTCAGTTGTTTAATTCTTCGAGATCGGAATGTTAAACTATAAAGAGATTGTTCAATTAAATGTTCAAAGCTTAGTTGGATAGGATTCTAGAAATTCTTGAGAGGAATAATTCACTTGTACACTTTATCTATGTAGTTCTAAGGTAACATCCAACCATTCACGCCATATTGATATTTCATTCTAAAACTTCTTACTTTTATTTAGGAGTACGTCGTAACAATTTACTACGACTAAGCGCAAGTTAACTAACGGATCAAAATGCGTTTGATATCTTACAAACAACCACTTGTTGGGGAAAGCAAGCGACGCCGCAACTACACGATTGTATGTGACAGACTAACCGGCCAATAACGGGAACATACGACCGTGTACCGCATTGCATGTACGAATGGTTAACATGCATAGTCAATAAACAAAGAGAACGTTCTCGAATTCCACTATCAAAAACTATACGAAAATAACGCAATTTTTATTAACATGTAGAAAATAAACTAATCCAAGTTAAGTAACTTATGGCTTACTCATTAACCTTAACTATGAACTAAGCACTAGGTCACTATAATAACTATGCTAAGTGGATGTAAAGAAAGGGTAACGAGTTTAACCCTAATTAATGTTTTAAGTTACACTCGTTGTGCTTAGCGTTTTACAACTTAGTTGAAGCTAGCTTTCAGCATCAGCCGTTCTCTGTTACATAACTAGCTCGGGAAAAAGTTAAAAAGGTATATCAAAAAGCTTCTTTTGATAATAAGGATTGAGAGGGTTTTTAATACTTCAGACGTGAAAAATAATTTTAAATTATATTTACACTTAAGTCATCATAAGTTGAACTATAGGATGTTTCGACTTTCACAGTCGAACGA